ATTCTCTAAGTTTAAAAGAGGCCCAACTAAACCGCCCACCAGCCCAAAACAAGAAGTCTAAAAATTACAGTTTATTATTTAAAGTAAATTCCACAACATCTGATAAAATTTGGACTCCAAAATTATAAAATCCAGGAATTAGAAATTAATTTAGAATTTAATGAAAATCTCCTAATTCGAGACTAAACTAACCTGAAGGACACGGGGCGTTACAGTTGGTCAACGGCGTTACATCTAAAGATTGTCATTTTCGTAGTCTGGTCTTATACAAACTCATTGTATAGGATACCCTCACTCGCATGTCTCCACACGAACAATCTGGATCGAGTCGTCTGTAATATTTACAAAGTGAGACGTATCCATAGTGTTGTCAGGATAAGGTACCCAGCCTTATCCATATAGTATAAACCCTTTAGGTTATTCACGGGACATTATCCACTCGTATATCATGGGTATATCAAATATATACCACGTATATTAGGGGTATATCAAATATATACCCAATATATATATTGTCCCGGTTACATGATAATAACCTTGGATGTTTAGTTTATTGGATTTTGGACAATGCAATGCTATGAATTCAATAACAAATTTATTGAATAAAACTTTATTGAATATACATATGGTTTTTACATAATTACAAACTACGAATTTAGGGCAACACACCCAACAAACTCCCATTTGAACTACACTCGAGTGGGTTGTACATTATCATAAAGCAAAGGGAAAATACAATAAATTAGGGCATACATTATACCCATTACATTTCTCCCACTTTCCCTAGACTAACTGTATAATGCTCATAGACCTAGACTTTCTAGATGGTCCTCAAACACTTTAGCCATGAGTGCCTTCGTAAAAGGATCAGCAATGTTGTGCTCCGAAGCGATCTTTGTGACGATCACATCTCCTCGTTGCACTATCTCCCGTATAAGGTGGTACTTCCTCTCGATGTGTTTGCCTCTCTTGTGGCTTCGAGGTTCTTTATAATTTTTACAGCACCACTATTATCACAATAAAGTGTGATGGGCAAGTTCATGTTTGGAAATACTTCCAAATATGTCAAGAACTTTCTAAGCCAAACCGTCTTTTTTGCTGCTTCACAAGCTGCAACATACTCAGCCTCCATAGTGGAGTCTGCGATGCATCCTTGTTTGATGCTTCGCCAAACTACCGCTCCTCTGTTAAGAGTGAATACTGACCTTGACGTAGATTCCCTTGAATCCTTGTCTGTTTGGAAGTCAGAGTCAGTGTATCCTATAAAGATCAAATTCTTAGAGCCATACACGAGCTTGTAGTCCTTCATTCTCCTTAGATACTTGAGAATTTCATTAACAGCAGTCCAATGATCATATCCTGTGTTGGATTGGTACCTACTGACCATCCCTACTGCATAGCAAATGTCAGGCCTAGTGCACAGCATAGCGTACATCAGGCTGCCCACTGCTGAAGCATAGGGTATACGTCTCATATCCTCAACTTCATGAGGTGTCTCAAGACATTGTTCCTTAGACAGATGAATTCCATGCCTGAAGGGTAATAAGCCTTTCTTGGAATTCTGCATCGAGTATCGAACAAGCATTTTGTCGATATAAGTTGCTTGAGACAAGGCTAACGTTTTGTTCTCGCGATCCCTTAGAATTTGGATGCCAAGAACATACTGAGCTTCTCCCAAATTCTTCATTTGGAACTAAGTCGCTAGCCACTTCTTTATGTAAGTGAGGTATCCTATATCATTCCCAATGAGTAGGATATCATCCACATACAACACTAAGAAGCCTATAATGTTGTTGACGATCTTCTTGTATACACAAGGCTCATCAACGTTTTGGTCATAACCATAAGATTTGATCGCAGTATCAAACCTAATGTTCCACGATCGAGATGCTTGTTTCAGTCCATATATGGACCATTTAAGCTTGCAAACCTTTTGCTCTTGACCTTGTGCTATGAACCCTTCGAGTTGAGACATATAAATACTTTCTTCAAGATTGTCATTCAGAAAAGCAGTCTTGACGTCCATTTGCCATATCTCATAGTAATAATATGTGGCAATGGACAAAAGTATTTTAATGGACTTAAGCATAGCTACTGGGAGAAGGTTTCTTCACAGTCCACCCCTTCCCTTTGTGTGTAGCCTTTTGCCACAAGTCTTGTCTTATAGGTCTGTACCTTTCCTTCGGCGTCTCGTTTTCCCTTATAGATCCATTTGCACCCTATGGGTATTACCCAGTCAGGTTGATCTACAAGTTCCCAAACAGAAATGAAGTACATCGACTCCATTTCCAGGTCCATTGCTTTGACCCATTTGTCCTTGTCAGTATCTTTCATTGCCTTTTTATAGGTCAATAGATCCTCGACACCATCATCAGGTATGACAACTTGGGTATCAGTTAAACCCATGTAGCGGTTAGGTTGTGATACAACTCTCCCACTACGTCGAGGCACCCTCAATACTTGAGCTGGATGTGACTGGCGTAATGTACTAGTTTCGTCAACAACTCTTGTTATAGTGCCAGTTTGATCAACAACTTTTGTTGACGTGTTTGTAGCCTTTTCGGAAATCTCGTTAATCACTACCTTACTCCGTGGTTTATGATCTCAAACGTAGTCTTCTTCCAATAAAGTGGCATTTGTCGATACAAACACTCTGTTTTCTTGAGGATCGAAGAATAGACCATCTATCGTCTCTTTATGGTAACCTACGAATAGGCATACTTTTGAACGAGACTTAAGTTTCTTTGGGTTAGTCACGAGCACGTATGTCGGGCATCCCCAAATGCGGAAATGACGTAAACTAGCTTTACGACCCTTCTATAGCTCAAATGGTGTTTCAGAAACACTCTTTCATGGAACTACGTCTAAAATATAAACCGCAGTCTCCACTGCGTAACACTAAAACGAGTTAGGCAACTAAGCATAGCTCATCATTGATCGAACCATGTCCAACAGGGTTCTGTTTCTCCTTTCTGATACACCGTTTTGTTGAGGTGTACCACGAGTTGAGAGTTGGGATGTGATTCCATGTTCTATCATATAGTCCTGGAATCTCAAGTCCATATACTCTCCACCCCGATCTAATCGAAGTGTTTTAATGGTTTTACCTAATTGATTTTAAACTTCAGTCTTGTACTCCTTGAACTTTTCAAGGGCTTCAGACTTATGTTGCATTAGGTATAAATAACCATACTTTGAATAATCATCTATAAAGGAGATGAATTATTCATACCCTCATCGAGCTTTATCATTCATCGGACCACAAAGGTCTGAATGTATAAGTTCTAAGAGCTCTTTGGCTCTATAACCTTTTCGAGTAAAAGGCCTTTTAGTCATTTTGCCTTCAAGACAAGACTCACATGGTGGTAAAGAATCGTCTACTAACTCACTTAGAATGTCATTCTTAACCAACCTCTCAATCCTATTGAGATTAATGTGACCTAATTTTAAGTGCCAAAGAAAGATGCTAAAGATAAATCAACAAGAGTTGTTGATCAGGCTGGTCCATCAACAAGAGTTGATAATAGACCAAGCACATCTGGTCCGTCACACCCTTCTCTAGAGATGAGGGAGCCTCGACGTAGTGGCAAAGTTGTAAGACAGCCTGATCACTATATGGGTTTACATGAAACCGAAGTCACTATGCCTGATGATGGCTTAGAGATTGACCTATAAAACGGCAATGTATGATGTTGATCGAGATCAGTGGATCAAAGCCATGGACCTCGAAATGGAGTCTATGTACTTCAATTCGGTCTGGGAGCTTGTAGACAAACCAGATGAGGTAAGACCTATCGGTTGCAAATGGATCTATAAGTGTAAAAGAGACCATTCAGGAAAGGTACAAACCTATAAAGCCCGATTAGTAGCAAAAGGTTACACCCAGGTGGAGGGGTAGACTATGAAGAAACCTTTTCACCTGTTGCTATGATTAAATCTATTAGGATACTTTTATCGATTGCCACCTTTTATGATTATGAAATTTGGCAAATGGATGTCAAAACTGCCTTTCTGAATGGTAATCTTGACGAAAGTATCTATATGGTCCAACCAGAAGGGTTCGTAGAACAGGGTCAGGAGCAAAAAGTTTGCAAACTTAAAAAATCCATTTATGGATTAAAACAAGCATCCAGATCCTGGAACATGAGATTTGACGCTGCGGTCAAATCTTACGATTTTTAACAAAACCTCGTGTTTACAAAAGGATCATCAACTCCACGGTAGCATTTCTTGTTTTGTATGTAGATGACATCCTACTTATTGGGAATAATGTAGGATATTTAACTGACATAAAAAATTGGCTAGCAACCCAATTTCAAATGAAAGATCTTGGAGAGGCACAACATGTTTTAGGTATCCAAATAGTTCGAAACCGAAAGAACAGAATGCTAGCTATGTCTCAAACATCTTATATAGACAAAGTGTTGTCTAAATATAAGATGCAGGATTCCAAGAGAGGTCTTCTACCTTTCAGATATGGAATACATTTGTCGAAGGAACAATGTCCTAAGACACCTCAAGAAATTGAGGACATGAGACGTGTTCCCTATGCATCAGCAGTCAGGAGTTTGATGTATGCAATGCTATGTACCCGACGAGACATATGCTTTGCAGTAGGGATAGTCAGTTGGTATTAGTCCAATCCCGGTTATGCACATTGGACTGCTGTTAAGAATATCCTCAAATATCTTAGGAGAACAAGGAACTATGTGCTTGTGTATGGAAATAAGGATCTGATCCTTACTGGATACACTGACTCCGATTTTCAGACTGATATAGACTCAAGGAGATCTACTTCGGGATCGGTGTTCACTCTTAATGGAGGAGCAGTAGTGTGGAGAAGTAGTCTCCCATTTCAGGGATAAGACTGGGTAGATAGCTGGGGACATAGAATTAGCAAGACGGAATTCACTCCTACCCGATTTAGGGATAGTAGAGAGGTTGTTCCCTTAAGGTCTGATCCCGGGTCTTGAACAAGGGGCCTCATCCTCTCACTGGCCGAGAGGAATTGGATTTAGTGATTTGATCCAAAACCAATTGTTCATTAGAGGGATAGTGGTACTTAAGGAGAAAAGATGTAAATCAGGGGTAAAACGTTTTTTTTACCTAGCTGAGGTTACGAACGGCCTGTGAAGGATTAACTTACCGATGACGGTTATATCGAATGGACACAAATATATCTACAGTGAGAGTAATGCATCTACAGGCTATAGTGGACAGTCCTGTTAGTTAACGAATGTTGATTAACTAAGTTAAAGAGTTTGACCGATTAGTTTCGAATCGTTGGAGCCCATGATCTGTAGGTCCAACGGGTCTCCATGCTAGCTCATAAAGGATAAAATTGATGAACTAGGTGAAGCAAGAATTTGAAGTGTTCAAATTCGGTTTTTAAAGGAATATTGTATTGACATTTAATTATTATGGAGAGTATGACTTATTTAAATTAGTTTTAAATAAGTTCAAAGCATGAAAAAGAGTTGTAATTTGATTAATGTGATTAATCATGCTTAGGTGTCAAAGACCAATTAATATGAGATATTGATTTGGCTTGGTTTTTGTTTTAATAGAAAATTGATATTTCAATTTTTGTTTTTATAAAAATTAGTTTTATCAAAGTTTTATTTAAAAAATCAAGTTAGTGGAAAAATCCAACTTTACTAACTAGTGGTTTTTGAAGTGTTTCTTCAAAGCAATGACACCTATCTTTTACATGCTAGTGGAGTTTGAAGTGGAAGGCATGCAAGGCTTGTCTTTGCATGCATTTGGTCTTTATATAGGTGATGAAGATCACTTGGATAAGGCTAATGCTTACTTGCATAAGTGCAGAATTTTTCCATTTAAATTTCTATTGTCTTCTCCTAACCATTAGTGTTTTCCCTTTGTTTTCACTCAAAATTCAGTCCCACAACCGTGTTCATCAACCCGAGGATAGCACGGATTTGTCGTTGGTGGTCCCTTTGAGTTAGGAGAAGAAGTTATAATGGAGGTCTTCAAAGGTATAAAGTTAATCTTTTTTCTCTTTACCTTTTCCATCATTTTTCCAAGCATGCTTATTTTGGTTAAATTGCTTCATTATGTGTATTATGATCATTACCTTCCGCTGTGCATGTCTAAGAGTTCCATCAGGACCATTTTGACATTTCAAGGGTAATAGCGCTTCAGATGCTCCGCGTTCCATGGATGCGCTAGAACGTCTCCTTTCAGATCGGCCAGTATGTACGTCCCAGGTCGGACTATTCCTTTGACTTCGAACGGCCCTTCCCAGTTGGGGTCAAGGGTGACCACATGACTTTGGATCCTCCTTAGGACCATATGTCCGACTTGGAAGGTTCGAGGTCGAACTCGGACGTTGTAATGTCTGGCCATTCTGTTTTGATATTCCGCTAGGCGTAGTTGAGCTGTTTCTCTTTTTTCCTCCAGTAAATCGAAGTTGGGGAGCAGCTCTTCCTCGTTTACTATAGGCTCGTAGTTCTCCACTATGGTGGATGGGAGGCCTATTTCAACTGGAACAACAGCTTGAGATCCGAAGGCGAGTGAGAACGGGGTCTCTCTAGTTGACTCCCTCGGGGTGGTCCGATATGACCATAAAACCTCTGGTAGCTCCTCGGCCCACCTGTCTTTTCTGGAGTCCAATCTCAGCTTGAGGCCTCGTTTGATGATCTTGTTCACCGCTCCACATACCCATTCGATTTTGAATGTGCAGGGGACGAGCTGAGATGACTTATACTGAGCCTTCTGCAAAAGTCCTTGAACTTTGCATTGTCGAACTGCTTTTCGTTGTCGGTCACGATAGCATGTGGTATACCAAAACGGCATACGATGTTTGTCCACACGAAGGACGTGACTTTGGACTCTGTAATGTGGGAGAGCGCCTCGGCCTCGGCCCACTTTGTGAAGTAGTCCACAGCAACAACGGGAAACTTGGTCTGCCCTTTGCCCAAAGGGAAAGGACCGATGATGTCTATTCCCCATTGCACGATTGGCCACGGGGCCGAAATGGGGGTGAGTAGCTCGGGCGACTGGTGGATTATATTTCCATAGCGCTGGCAGTTGTCGCAAGTTTTTACGAACTCTTTGGCATCCTGGTCGAGAGTAGGCCAGTAACATCCTTGTCGGACCACCTTGGCCGACAACAACCTGACTCCTGAATGGTTGCCGCACACTCCCTCATGGATCTCCTTGAGGACATACAGGCCTTCCTTAGGGGTCACACATTTCAACAGAGGGAGAGAGAAGCTGCGTCGGTACAATGCTCCGTCTCGGATTATGAACCGAGCTACTTTTCTTGCCATCTTTTTGTGCTCTTTAGGATCTTGTGGTGGATTTCCTTTAATGAAGTCCACAATTGGATCCATCCACGAGGGCTGCAGAGTGTCGACTTCCATCAAATCTGGCTCAGAGATCGAAGGGCTGTCTAAGATCTCGACGGGGACCGACCTGGCCAGATCGGTCTCATACGCTAACGCTAATTTAGCTAAGGCATCAGCGTCAGAATTTTCTGCTCTTGGAACCTGGCTTACTTCGTAGGTCGTAAATTGGGCGAGGTACGACCTAACCTTGCTCAGGTATTTTTCCATTTGAGAGTCTTTTGCCTGATACTCC